ATTTATATATTATATATGTATAATTTCCCCTGCACTGAAATGCACAGGCTTTTTCCTTGTCATTATTCCTGAGCCAGTACAATATGGCAACTGTTTATATCGAATTGAGGTGTTACAAGTAACCTAGAGATGACTTAGAGCATATGGGAGGCAATGCATAGGTTACATGTGAGTATTGCTCCATTTCAGAAGATTTGAGCACCCATGGATTTGGGGCCTTGGACACAATCCCCATCTGGTCCTGAGTGATCCCTGCATACTTAGGATCTTTGCGGGGAAGCTGAGGCCCTTTATTGAAGCCTGTGTCTGTGGACAGGTCTGTGTTGTTTTTCTTGTGTAATTACCACACCCAGGTGAATATGATTTCTGATTTTAATTTCTTTACAGGAAAATCTGAAAAGCTTCACAAAGCAATCTGAGGACATAATCCATTCTGGATTTTTATAATTTTCCCTTCTGATTTCACATTTTTTAAATTGGTATGTGTTTACAGTATGTCATGGCTGCATTCATCATCTGGAGTTGGAATATGGACACCACACATCTTATCTCTTTTTTTTTCTCACCTCTCCACCTCTTCATGTCATGGTCCCCTTCCCTTTTGTAAAAGATGTATCTCCCTATTTCCTATTACCTATCTTTTATTTTGCTATTTATATTTGATGTGATATTTAAGCTTGTGTGTCTGATTTATTGCACTAACACTATGGTCTCGAGGTACATCCATTTTCCTACATATGACTCACCCTTATCTTTCTTTCTGGCAGAGTAGGACTCCATGGTACATCAATACCAGTGTATTCATTCATCTGTTGGTGGACACACAGGCTGCTTCCAAGATTTAGTGATCATAAGGTGCACTGCTATAAACGTGGGTGTGTACGGATCACTATAATACGATGTATTTAACTTTCGGGAAGGTACCTAGAAGGAAAATAACTAGGTGAAAGGGAATTTCTGTTTTCAGTATTTTGAGGAATCACCATACTGATTTCCATAGAAGGTGTACTAGTTTAAATTTTGACCAGCAATATAGAAGGTTTCATTTTCCTCGCTAGTGTTTATTATTATCTGATTTGTTGATGATGCCCATTCTTTTTGGAGTAATAAAATAGAATCTCAGTGTTGTTTTAATTCGCAATTCTCTAATGGCCAACAATATTGAACATCTTTTCACATGTATTTATTGGCCATCTGTAATTCTTTGCAGAAGTTGCCCATTCCAGTTTCCCATTTTACATTTGGGTCTTTTACTATGGGGATCTAATTTTTAGATGTTTAGAATCTTTGTATTCTAGACATTAGTCCCTTGTCTGAGAAATAGCTGGCAAAAAAAATTTTTACTCCAAAAAAGGAAATAGAATAGAAAATGAGTAGACAAAAACAATATTGTCAAAATGGCTATACTTCCAAATCTGATATACAGATCTAATGCAATCCCAGTCAAAACACCAATAGGATTCATAACAGAACTAGATAAAACAATCCTAAAAATTCATATGGAACCAGAAGAGACTCAGAATAGCAAAAGCAACCCTGAGTAGTAAGAGCAAAGCAGGAGACATCATAGCTCTGGACTTCAAGTTATATTACAAAGCTACAGTGATAAAAACAGCATGGTACTGGCACAAAAACAGGTGTGTGGATCAATGAAGCAGAATAGAGCAAGCAGCTACAACCCCAGGCAATTTAGCTATCTGATCTTTGACAAAGGGACCAAACACACAAGGAAAGATAACCTCTTTAATAAATGGTGCTGGCAAAGGAAGACTGGCTATTGACATGCAGATTGAATCTAGTACTAAACCAAAATTAAAATGGATCAAAGATCTAAATATTGAAATAGAAACAATCTAGTGCAAAATAAAATAGGTAAAACTCCTGAAGACAAACATAGCCAATGACTGAAAAGAACCCTAACTGCACAAGAAATACCTCCAAGAATTAGCAAATGGGATCACATTGAATGAAAAAGCTTCTTCACAAGTAAAGGAAACAACCAACAGTAAAGAGTCAACAGTAGTTTTTTAAGACTCAGATTCGCCAGTCTTTACAAGGCCCTTAATTTTTTATTTTCAAATTCATGTTCCAGTATTTTCCATTACATGTCAATTTAATTATTGAAAGTAAAATTGGGATATAGTTTTAGAAAGAATTCAGCAATTAGGTACACAAACAACTCACTTGATGGGAACAAGAGTCAGGGACAGTGGAGAAGAGGCATGGTAGGGAGGAGACACCTGGCCACAAATGTCAGGTGTCTTGTATACCATCAGTGTGTTTACACAAGAATGGCTGGAGATTATTCTGGAAGTCCTGTAGGTGCACAGTGGCAAAAAGACATCAACTGCACATCAATAAAAGCAGTCTCTGGGAGCCTAGGCAAGGTATTCAATCAGGAAGCCCTCTTGGCTTCCCTTAGAAATATACCCAGAATTCCACCATTCCTCATCACTCCTCCTATCCCCATCCTGCCCCAGGTCCTCTTATATGCCTCATGTAGATTATTACATTAAACGTGTAACTTGTCCCCTTATGTTTTATTCTCAGTGCAGAAGCCAAAGAGATCCTTTCCAAATATAGATCATGTCTCTGTTCTGTTCAAAACCCTCCAAATGGCTCAATTATCTCTGTAAAAGCCAAACTCTTTACACAGCCTGTAAAGCACAGTTTACACTGTCTACTTGCCCATGAGTAGGATGTCATCTGCTTTTACCTTTTGCCATAGTCTAAATGTTTGTGTCCACTGCCAGATTCATATATTGAAATCCTAACCCTCAAAGTGCTGGCACTGAGGGTAAGGCCTGTTGGAGGTGATCAGGCCACAGGGGTGAAGCCCTCTTGGATTGGGATGGCGCCCTTATAAAGGAGGCCTGGACAGAGATCTTTCACCCCTTCCATCAGCTCAGGACAGCAAGAAGGTGCAGTCTGTGAGCCAGACATCTCTTCTGGACTTGGAAGACCTCAGAGCTGTGAGAAATAAATTCCCACTGCTTATAAGATAGCCAGCTTCTGGTGTTTTAAGCCCAAGGGCACTAAGACACTCGACCTTGCTCACTTCCTTCCAGGCACTCTGCCTTTCTTGTGGCCCCCTGGACTTACCAGTTAGGCTCTCTCCTCTGCCTTTGTTCCTCTTTCTAACTGGAAAACTTTCTTCCGATACTAGCATAGCTCCCTCCCTCATCTCCATCAAAACTTTAAGATGTCACTGTTCCAGTATGATCATCGCTTATCACCCTAATGCAACCCCAGGCCTCCTACCCCACTCTACACACCCTGTCCCTTTTCTGAAGGTACCCATTGCCTTCTAAGATATGTGCAACTTCCTTTGTCTGTCTTCTCCTCTAGAACGTCAGCCCTACCAGGACAGAGATTGTCATATGTCATCTACCTCCATTGCCTAGAACAAGTGTGGCAGGTAAGTTCTGTTGTGTTTTTTAAAAAAGTTCCAAGGATTATCCAGATTATCCTGAGAACGGTGATCCAGTCTCGAGGTAATCTAGGTCTGTGCTGTCCATATGGTGGCCACTGCCTCAGGTGACTGGTGTATATGTGAAATGTGCCTGGTCTGGACTGAGAGGGGTTCTAAGTGCAAATGCACACTGGATTTTAGGAAGAAAAGCAGGTTAAAAAATTTTAAAATGTTTTTCTTTTTGTGACACTGGGATCAAACTCAGAGCCCAGCCATGTTGGGCAAGTGCTCTGCCTCAGAGCTACACCCTCAGCCCTCAAAATTCTTTATGTTGGTAACAATGTGAAGTGATAGTATGTTGGCTATGTAGGGATAAAGAAAATATAT